ATAGCACAAGGCATGAAATAGAGGTCCAAACTTCTTTTCCCAGTGGTTCCACAGTTATTGCAACATGATTTACTAAACTGCCTTTTTCCCAATTGTTTGAGGTGTCCTTTCTGCTATATACTTAATTTTTCTATGTATTTGGCTATAGTTCTGAAATTTCTATTGGGGCTCATTGATCTCTCTTTTTATTCTAGCCTCGGGATCACACTGTTGTAATGACTGAGGCTTTATAATGTTTTACAACCTGTTAGGGCAAGTTGTTTTTTATTTCTCTTATTTTTCAGAGTTTTCTTAGGTTGTCTGATTTGTTTATTTTAACCTTAGAATTATTTTGTCTAGTTCTCAAGACAAAAATCCTATTAGTATTATTAGTCAATCACAAATGAATTGTGAAACAGAATATGTTATTGTCCTATCTAAAAACATGCTATGTCTTTTTATTTGTTCAAAGTCCCTTTTGTACCCTTCAAATATGTTTTAAATGTTGCTGCGTATATATGTCTTGCATGTTTCTTGCCAAATTTATTACTAGTATTTTGTGTCTACTTTTAAGTGGATCTTTTTTATCTATTGCATATTATGAATTAGTTTTTATATATATAAAAGCTATCAATTTCTGTATAGTAATTTTGTACCCCATTACATAACCAAATTATATTTGTTTGTAACTATTAGGATTTCCAAATTATGTAGCTGCATACCCAGCTAATTCTTTGGGAGTTTGCTGGGTATACAGCTACATAATTTAGAAATCCTAATAGTTTCACTAGCAGCTTTCCAACTTTATACCTTAATTTTCTTTCTCTTGTCTAAAGTATTGGTTAGCATCTCCAGAATAATGTTAAATAATAACAATGGTAGTGGACATTCTTATCTTGTCCTTGACTTTCATGGGAAAGTTTTTCTGTTTCTATAGTAAGCATGATGCTGGTTTAGAATTGAAATAAATATATTTTACCATGTTAGGAAAATCTCTATCCATACATATTTATTGAAAGTATTGCTTTGCTTAAAAAAAACAGGATGGGTATTGAATATTACCAGGTGCCTTTTAACATCTATATAAATAATCATATATTTTTCTCCTAAGATCTGTTAACATAATAAAACATGTTACTAGATTTTCTAATATTAAGCCAGTTGTACCAGTAGAATAAACCACATTGGTTATGCTTTATTTTTTAAGGTCCTGGTGGATTTTATATGCTAATATATTCAGCTGACTTTATGAAAATAATTTAGAAAGTTTTATTATCAGCTTATGCTTTGCAACTTTAAGTAGCAATAGAATTATCAGTTTTTAAATGTCTGTTAGTTTGTAGGGAATGAAATCAAGCTGTTTTTATTCTCTCTCTCCCTCTCTCCTGATTTGGGCTTTAAAAATGCTTTTTTTCTGAGAAGATTATTCATTTTACCCAAATTTTCAAATGTATTTGCATGCAATTGAGTAAGGTAGCCATGATTCTATACAGCCCCCGTTTCTAAAGTGGATCCCCTTATCTGTCCTGACTCATTTATTTGATTAGAATCTTCTGCAGAATCATCACATAGTCCTTGGTGATAAATTCTCTGAACTTAGGTGATATGTTCTCTGAATCATTACATATCTTCTCTTAAATAAGTGTCATTTTGTTATGAAATGGTACTTTTGGGCCTCAGAGTTGCTCTCCTTTATGCCTATATTATAGATGTTCTATAGATATAATTCTGTAATCTTTTCTTTTTCAGAATTACATGTAAGAAGTCCAATACTTTTTCCTTTGAGAATGCTTTGTACTTTCTGACTGTCCTATGATTATTATTATACCCTTGGAGTATAGGAATGATATCAGAATGACCTGATTCAAGGATCCTGCCATTTTGCAAAATAGTTCATTTGTTAAGCTCGGGGTATTTGTGTTTTCTATTTATTTATCATGGCTCCTCCTCCCCCATCTTGCAGGAAAGTCCACTATTCATGTTAGATCTTCTAGATGATTCCTTCAAAGCTTGTACAGTTCCTTCGTGCTTTCCAAATCTCCATGATTTTGTTCTCTTTTGAGATGAGTTTTTCAAATTGTCTTTCAAGTCACTAATTTTGACCCCATTACTGGTCATCTTCTCTTCATACATCCAACTCTTTTAATTGAAAGAAAATACTATTGAGTTTTAGTTCAAAAAATGTTTGTGTGCTCTGATCAGATGCCTACACATGTTTCTATGTTTCTACAAAGGTAGAGAATGAGGAGTTCAAACTATTGCCTGTCCCCCCACCCAATACTTGATTGGATGCGGGGGGACACTGGCAGCCACTTCCATTCTGGAAGTTCTACTTGTTTTTCTTCTCTAGGACTACTGGATTCCGTACATGCAGTGTTGTTTTCTTGACTATCTCTTGGGGCTTGGGTCCAGCTGCCAGAGCATCTAAAAGGAAGCAGAGTTCTAGATGGAAAGCATAGTGAGCGCCAGGCAAGCTGTCCCCCCTGCTAAGGCACCAGAAGGTGATCTGTTTCTCTCAGGGACCTGCCCACCTAGACTCTCCCATATTCCCTCAAGGGACTGAGATGACAGCAGTCTTCTGGACAACCCCACAGGTAGTAAAACTTTCTTATTTAGCCGGCCCAAGAACCGCTCAGCCCAACTCTCTTCTTTAATCTCACTGTTCTAATTCCCACCCAAGGACTTCGTGCCACTAGTCCTGAGGTTCTGTCTAGTCCCTAAGGGGAAATGAAAGCCCATAACATCATTGTGTACCGGATCTAGACAGGGCTGAAACTTCACATTCCCCAGATGCCATTCCCTGCTGGGCTTAGAGAGATAATTCCTGGTTGAATTGGAAGTGGGAGGAAAGGCATTAGGGTTGAGTGTAAGCTATTATATTGCCAACAGCCCTTTTTCCTCAGAAAGAAGATTTGTATTCTAGAATCCATGAATGGAGTCCATGATCTCCTGGAATTACCTACCATCAAGTTCGCTCGCTCTCTCTCTCTCTCTCTCTCTAGCTATCTATATGAATTAGTCTCAACAAATCATACTTAATCTTAGTATCAGTCCCTAATATGCCAATTAGTCCCATGTAGTCCCATGTTCTAAGTTCAGTATGTAAAGATGGTCTCACAGTCTCTCAGACACCAGCAATTATCTCTGGAAGTAAACATCTTCTATTTTTGTGTCTATATGGGTCATTGTAGAATGGGTTACTAGACATGGAAGATCACCCTTCTTTTGGCAAGAGGGCAAGTTCTTGAATCTAGTAGAAGATGGTTGAAAGAGAAATAAAATAAATTGAAACATGTTACAATAATCAATAACTCCCATAAAGTGGCAAAAAGTAACAAATATAAATCAGTTGTAAGTTCAATGAATTCAGAGACAAGAATTCAAAAAAGAGCTTTCTGAGGAGAAGTTAGGAAAGTTTAAAAACAGCCTTGTTTGTCCTCAAAAAAAGAAGGGGAGAATAGGGAAGAATAGCTTAAAATTTCTTACTTTTTTTTTCAAAGTGGACAGCCTTCCAAGTCAGAATTAATTCAGACAGACTTCCTAATTCTTACATCTTTGCAGGGAAAAATTGATGGTGATCCCTTGACACTTGGCATTCAGCTTCTAAATTTCAAATATATTATTGCTTATATCTCTTAAAAAATGTTACTGGCTTTAATCAAAAGTAGGTCAGCATAATATCTACTACCAAGATCGTTTATAGTTGCCTTTGAAACACAAACCCTAGTAATTCTAGTGGAAAAAAAGATTTTTTTTTTTTTAATTTGAGGTGAATATAAGGAGAAAAAAACTTAGAAAGATCTTCTTTGTCTCTAGATGGCAAAGAGAGGAAAATATGGACTTAGGTATGCCTTAAATTATTTTCAGATTTTTAAATATATCCATGCATCCTTTTTATGCAAGTTACTCTTATATATGACTATTACCCAGCTAGACCACTGGCAGGCAGGTGGGGGCTGAGAAGACGGAGGAAGAAAAATCGGTCATCAACATGGGGTCTTCATGCTGAAGACCTGAAGGTACCTCCTTCCACTGGGACCTACAGTCCTCTCCTCATTCCCCTTAAGTTGACTAAAGCTCACCCTCATAAACATAACAATATATAAAGTATTATCAAGGCTAGGTGTGGTGACTCATGCCTATAATCTCAGCACTTTGGGAGGCTCAGATGGGAGGATCGCTTGAGCCCAAGAGTTCAAGATTAGGCAACTTAGCCAGACATTGTATCAAAAAAAAAAAATTAGCTGGGCATGGTGGTGCATGCCTGTAGTTCCAGCTACTAGGGAGGCTGAGACAGAAGGATCATCTGAGCCGAAGAAGTCGAGGCTGTGGTGAGCCATGATAATGCCACTGCACTCCAACCTGGGTGACGGAATAAGACACTGATTCAAAAACAAAAGGAGTATTATCAAGAATTCATATAGCTCTCCAATTTTTACTTATATGTCGGTTGCAATAATATTAGCTATAATCAATGGTTATGAATAGAAACTTGTCTAATTTCCTAAAAGAAAATTTGTTTTTAAAAAGTCTTAATCATTTAATGGGTACATACAAATGTAGTCTTTCATTATATTCCATTCCTTTATTCTTTCTGTTCCCCTTTTAACAAATATGTGCTCAATTATTATTACTTGTTGATGTCGTTGTTGTTGTTAAATAATGCATAGCCAAAAGCCACAACCAGGCACCTGGAATTCAGTCATCCCCTAATTTAACCAAAGAGTACACACTGGTAGACATGATGAGACTGGATATGCAGCAGTGATATCAGATATCACTAAATATATCCACTAAAGAGCATATGTCCACTAAAGCCAAATTCATTTATGTTCTCAAAGCAGTCACTAACAACCCATCAAAAATGGTATTCCACATGAGACACATGCATCTTCCTAATTTAACACAATGCCACCTCACAAGTGTTTGCTGGGAATTTTTCCTCCAACTTCCAGGTAGTCTTCAAAATATTTCTAGACCCACAGAATTCTTTTCAACTACACTGTGCTTGTTGGTTGCAGATGGCTATACCACTGATGACATTGAGTTTTACTGGAACGGAGGAGAGGGAGCAGTCACTGGTGTGAATAATATTGAGCTTCCTCAGTTTTCCATTGTTGACTACAAGATGGTGTCTAAGAAGGTGGAGTTCACAACAGGTGAGCATGTTTCCCAAAAAATGAACTAGGGATGCTGGGAAAGGAAGAAGACGGTTCCAACCTAATGATGACCTGATTGTCTTTTTTCTTCCTCCAACTCAGGAGCGTATCCACGACTGTCACTAAGTTTTCGACTGAAGAGAAACATTGGTTACTTCATTTTGCAAACCTACATGCCTTCCACACTGATTACAATTCTGTCTTGGGTATCTTTTTGGATCAACTATGATGCGTCTGCTGCCAGAGTTGCACTAGGTAAATGCATCCTCAGCACTGCAGAGAGCTCATGGGCTTCATCTTTAAACAAACAAGCAATATTAGGAATTATAGGCAATGTCCCTCTAATGCAAGCCAAAGAATTAAATTATCATAGAAGTCCTGAATATAAAACGTCTAAGCGTAAGCAGAATTAGATTACCATAAGAGCCCTTGAATATAAAGCATCTAAGTGTAAGCATCTTAACAATGAATGTTTTATCATGTGCTGTCTTTTTACCATTTTACCAAATTGTTTTTAAAAAATCTTGGAGTATGTTTAGCATTATGTAAATGTTTCATGGAAGATACTTTAAAATTCGCATTACACTCACTTTTAGGAACTTTGTGATGGCTTCTTCTTTGATCCTTGCTTTTTATGGGAGAGAACATTTACAGGGTATTATTTTCTAATGGACTTGGTGAAAGTTAAGCCTCTTGACTATTCACCAGCGATGTCAATTGCTGGGAAATACGATCCTTTGAATATTAACTAAAGTTTAATCATACCAAGCTGAGTCCCCTTAAATGGAACTTATTATAATTGAATAAGGCACAGAGAATTCTTCAGCTGTATTAATGACCTGTGGTCAAGAGGGAATAAAAAATTATTTCCTTCTTGTGGGAACAAAATTCAGAACTAATCTTGCCATGGTTGAGTAATTGCCGAAAACTGAAAAGCTGTATTTGAGTCTTTCAAAGGTTCCTTGGAAAGTTAGAATGTGTAAGTTAGAATGTGTCTGATAGATCGGTGTATGTGCAGGTATGCCTCATAATTAGATCCTAGAGCCATTTCAGTTATCACTTTCTGAGGCTTATTCACACACACACACACACACACACACACACACACACACACACACACAAATGTGCATGCATACACGCACTCAAGCATCACTTCTGACTGAGCTCATTCATTACTCCTCTTCTCCTCCAAGACTGGTGAGCGAGATGAGGTGACCAGCACACCCTTTCACAACTATTGTCATCTCTACAGCTTATGTCTAATGGCTGAACACTCAAATCAAGTGTCTGCAGCTCCCTTTTCAACCTTTGAACATTCTAAGAATAAAGAAAACAAATAATTAATCATATCATTCATATGTATCTGCACATACTGCTTAAATGTGAACACGCTCACATGTGTGTGCATGTTAAGGAAACACTGGTTGATGTCCACAGCAGGGAATAATAATCAGCAAGCATATGAAGTGTGGTTCTGTTTACACATCTATCCTCAAAGCTAGTGATATTTGATTAGTGATATCAGCATATAAAGGTGCTGGTTTAACCTATACTTTGGTTGTTTTATTTTGTTTTGTTTTGTTTTTTTGAGTTGGCATCTCACTCTGTCACCCAGGCTGGAGTGCAGTGACACGACCATGGCTCACTGCAGTCTCTACCTCCCACACTCAAGTGATCCTTCCACCACAGCCTCCCAAGTAGCTGTGACGATGGGCATGCACACCACACCTGGCTTATTTATTTATTTATTTATTTATTTATTTATTTATTTATTTTATTTTGTAGAGAGGAGGTTGCACTATGTTGCCTAGGCTCATCTCAAACTCCTGGGCTCAAGCAATCCTCTCACATCAACCTCCCTAAGTGCTGGGATTACAGGCTTTAGCCACCACATCTGACCTTAACCAATTCTATGGAATGTAAAACCTGAGGTATTTTTAAACATATATAATTAAAGATGACATTTGTTTACTAATTTTTTTGCTTAAAAATGTAAAACAAGGAGTAGAAGCAGAGAAGCAATTAGTGAATTTGTAAATGAATTGTTCATTGCTATTAAGCACGTTAGCTAGAATTACATTAGGTGAAATGTGAAGTTTTTAATATATGTTTTTATTTTAAAATTGCGGGGTACAGTTAAGGGTTATATATACAAATATTCGTTGTGCAGATACCCTTGTTGATGAGGTGTGCCCCCCTTTCCCCAGACATATATTGACTACCGTTAATCCCACCTCTCTTCCTCTCCCTGCCCCCATAGTTTCCCACCACTGTCAATCCTTTTCTTATAGTATTACGGTAGCCTACTTGGAATATACCCTGAAATGTGAAGTTTTATTCAAAGACATAAGACCCCTCATGATGGCATTTCGTACCAGTCTAGCACGTTAGAATTCATCACTGGTTTGAACATACATTTTAACTTTCTATATGGTAGTACTGACTTCCTATTTTATCTGTTCTCTAAAAATTGAAAAGTCAAATCAAGGACTCTATACATCTAGAATAATCTGACAAATGAGTGCTAAACTATTTCCCCCTTTTTCACTTTACTACTTTTTATTCCCTTCAACAACTTTCTTCTGTTTTTACTATCTATTTCACACTGCTGACTTTGCTAGAGAAGCTTAAGACTATAAGCTCATGAATGGCAGATTCCGTTTTATCTACTTTGTTAAATACAGCACTCTTAAGAGTATAATATGTATAATACATATAATAATACATATTTCATTTTTATTATGGTGATGAAAAAGCAATTATTGTGAAAAGCAAAAAGAAAAAGAAGCTGGACTCTGGCATCGACAGTTTGTGCTGCAATAGCAGCAACATACATTTGTATAGTGTCAAATGTAAGGACCACCAGCAGCAAATTTCAGGTTTTACCTTCTCATCTCTCTGCTTATTTTAAATGCTGTTGTATAATAGCTCTGCTTTTTATTGCCCCCAACTGGGTGGACTTAGAGAAAAATAATTAATCTCAGAATTTCTGTTACGTAGCTAAAAAATGAGAATCATATACTCTATCATACTCAGAAGCTGTTATGACAGCCATATAGGGCAACTTATAACTGTAGGTATTTAAAACTGTAAAACACTACGTAACCGTGTAATAGTGACACTATTTAAATGTATATTGTTGCTATTGCAACACAAACTACCTACACCAGAGTCCAGCTTCTTTTTCACTTTTTGCTTTTCCCAATTATTGCTTCATCATCACCATCATTAACATGAAATACGTATTGTTATATGCATTATATACATTATACTCTTAAGAATGCTGTTTTTAACAAAGTAGATAAAACAGAATCTGCCATTCATGAGTTTACAGTTTTAAACTTCTTTAGCAAATGCAAGTTTAATTCTTTAATAGTCTTTTCCTAACATCAGGAAAACTGATTCTTTCTAGGCTCTAGAATGAAGAAAATAGAGGTAATATTTGAAAAACCAAAACAACAAGATTATATTATGCCTACACAATACATCCACATGATGAGGATGCATGTGTACCCCCTAAATCTAATCTTTAAAATAATAATTAATAAATAAATTAAAATGCGACCAGTCGTAATCTTGAAAAAAAAATACATAAATCAAACATTTGATACAAATCATGAAATGACTCATGTTTCTTCTTTTAGTGTTATTTTGCTATGAATGACACATGATTATTTTAAAATGCAACATTAACCTTATGACTTGGGTGTATTGTAGATTCAGGGAATGAGGCAGATTCTCTCAGACTGGTCACCAGCTTTGTTTGGTAGTGGCTGCCATAGGACTAATATCCCAAACAGAGATTTAGGAGGGAGATGGGTGAGATTCTGACAGAAGGAGAAAGAAGAATGTGACCACATAATAGAATGAGAGACATTTCACTGTAGGCTTTCAACAGGATTTTTATCTGTCTTTCCATCTGCTTCTCTTTTTTGTGTGTGCAATTTTTTTAAAAGTTTTCAACCCTTCATTAACTGAACATTCTATTTTATGATTCATTAATTGGCTGTGTAGAGAGCCCACTGTCTTGTCTTTCAAAGTATGCCCTTTGTGCCCAGTGGTTTATTGTGCTTCTGCCATCCTACTGTGCATTGATGAGGGCATGGCATCTGTCCTCTCAGTCTTGAAAAGGGCAATGTAATAGAGTTGCCTTCAGCTAAGCTTTGTCTCTCTGTTTCCCAGGTATCACCACGGTGCTGACAATGACCACCATCAGCACCCACCTCAGGGAGACCTTGCCAAAGATCCCTTACGTCAAAGCGATTGACATTTATCTGATGGGTTGCTTTGTGTTTGTGTTCCTGGCTCTGCTGGAATATGCCTTTGTAAACTACATCTTCTTTGGGAAAGGCCCTCAGAAAAAGGGAGCCAGCAAACAAGACCAGAGTGCCAACGAGAAGAACAAGCTGGAGATGAATAAAGTCCAGGTGAGGCATTAAATATTCCAGGTAACATTCTTCATAAGTTTATCAGCAGCGTGGTACTTGGGGCTCTCATAACTAAAAGAAAAAAAAACTTGTAAAATACTGTTTTATCTTTAATAAGACTTCACCAGTCCTTCATTTTACATGTTTGGGAACTGAAGGATGAAAAAGTCAAGTTGAAGGTTATATCGATGAATAGCATGCAGGTCTAGAGCACAACTGCAAGTCCATTATAATTTATTCTAAACTATTTACAGAAGGGGGACTCAAAAAAACTGGAATTTATTTATAAAAAATTGCATATCTATTCTTACATGCTTAAACTTCAGTCACCTTCAAAGTATTCTCCGTTTGATGCAAGACACCCATCAAAACGCTTTTCCACTGCTCAGAACAGTTTGTGAACCTGACCATTTTGATACCTTTTAGTGCTTCTGCCTCTTCCACATGGGTAAAATGTTTCCCTTCGAAGACTATTTTCAGATAGGGAAATAAAAAATAGTCACTGGCAATGAGATCAGGTAAACAGGGATGGTGGGCGTGGGGGTCATCTTGTTTTTGGTCAAAAACTTCTGAATGCTCAGTGCAATGTGGGCAAGTGTACTCATAAATCACCCATCATGAAATGGTGGGTGAAACACTTTGAAAGAATCTCAAAAAAAAAGAATTCACTGAAGTCGAACACAACCTCTCCCAACAACACTAGCTAATACACTGATGTTGCCGATGGATTCCTAGGACACTTACCTGTACTACAAGGGGCTCACCTTCCAAAAGATAATCCTCAATTTTGGGGGGGTCCTCCCTTGTAGGTGAAAGAATAATGAGAGAACTGAAGTGAATATACTCTGCACTCTTCAATGCAGATGAGACCACATTACACAGTGGTCACAGCCAAACACTAGAAGCCAACTACCTGGGTGTGAATCCCAGTTCTGCCCCTTCCCGGCTTTATAACTTCAAGCAAATCAACCTGTTTAAGTCTTTATCTAACCTCTACTCTCTGTGTCCTTATCCATAAAATGGAGATTATTAGAGTACACCTATCTCACAGAGTTTTCATAAGGACTAAATGAATTGTTTTGGTAAAAAGTTCAGTGTCTGGAACATTACCTAGCACATAGTAAATAATAAGTATTAGCTATTATTATATACAAGATATTGTTATTACTTTTTTTTTTTTTTTTTTTTGCTTTTTGTTAGTAGATCTTACAACCCATGGTCTCATTGGGTGGAATTAAATTAAAATTAAGAGTTTGTTTATTATTTTAAAACATATCCATAGCCTCTACCTCTGAGTCATTTCTCATTGAAATCAACTTACCCTTAGATACACCGAAATACCGTATCCACCTCAAATTGTTTTCCAGGTACACACAGGGTGACAACTCAAATATTTGTTAATTTAGGCACCGTTCTGGGCATCAGGGACACTGCTCTAAGACGAATCCCTTGCCCTCATGGACCTTAGACTCTAACGTGGGAAGACAGGCAATAAACACAAACAAGACAAGTATTAAAAGGATAATTTCAGGTAACATTAAGGGCTAAAGAAAATAAAATGGAGTGCTAGGCAAGAGGGTGACTGGGTCAGCTTTGAAGGGCAGGACACTAGGTGAGGTGATCAGGAAAGCCTCTCTGAGGGTTTACTATTCCATCTGAGATGAGAAGCGATGAGAAGCTGCTAAACATGCCATGTCCATTCCAGGCCACGGAAATGGCAAGTCCTAAGGCCCTGAGGCAGGAATTGCTGCGTGTATCAAAGTTTTGAGAGAAGTTGGTGTAGCCAGAGTGTGGTGAATGGGAGCAAAGGTAGGGCAGCATGTGAGGTGCATGGGTGATTAAACAGAAGCCAACTGTGAATCTCCGGGGTGGAGCTTCATGCTCTTTAGTAGGATAGCAAGCTTGGACAGACACTACTAGGAAAATGGTGAGCAAAGAAAACTTAGAGGTCCGCCAAATGATTAAAATTCAAAGTAACTCATCAGATAAACTTCTACCTTTGTGTGAGGCACGATGCTTGATGCTATGGGCACAGAAGTAGGCATGATATTTGCCCTCAAGAATCTTCTGATCTTGTTGGACAAGATATTATATTATCTTATATTTTAATTATTATATTATGTTATGTTATATATTAATTATATAGCATAAATTATGTTAGTTTTGTTATGTTATTAAATTATATTTTAATTATTACATTATATTTTAATTATGTTATATTTTATATTAATTATATCATGCAATGTTATATATTACATCATATTAGAAGATACAATACATATCTTCTCACAGTATACTCATAGGCAGTGATTAAATTATAAAATGAGACTGAACACAGTGTGAGGAATATTTTTGAAAAGAAGAAGGTTTCCATTACCTGATTGTAACCATGCCAACTTTAAAAGTATGGCCTTAGGAGACCACCCCTTTCTGTTTTCATCTCCATCTCAATTGCCTTCTAGTCATACTAGCTCATCCTCTGTGCAGCTTGGAATTTGTGTTGACTGATAGATCATGGGGAAAACCCTATGTGAAGGAAGTGGGATAGGTCCAGTGGTAGGAAAATTCAGAAGCCAGGAACCAGATGGACACTCAGTGACTTGTAGAATTCTGGAAGGTGTAAAGGAGAAAGCAAGGCCCTTCAGCTGGCTTGGAAGGTGTAAAGGAGAAAGCAAGGCCCTTCAGCTGGCTAGAAGAGCAACATTCTCTAGGGAGAGTAACTAAATGGAAGGTCAAGCAAACTGGAAAACAAACATTAACCAAACTCTTTAAGCATTGGCCTGGATTCCACACCAGGTTCTCAGGCAACTGTTCTAAGACAACAAGGGATAAATCAGGTGGGAGGATCGTATCAGATCTAGATGTTTAATGTAGCTCTTTCTGAAGGTGGCTCAGTGAATGGATAATAAATAAGTAAATGTTCCCATCTGACTAACCTTCATTTCAAAAGCAAGATGTCTGACTAACACTGGGCTTAAGTATGTTGACATTTCATTGGATTGCAAATCAGTAAACTTTTTTTTCTGGGTAAATTGGCTTTTTAAAATTTCAGTTCAAGGAGAAAGCATAGAAAAATCCCTCAATTTTCAGGGGACAAAACACGGAAAGATAAAGTGTGTTCTTATCCCTGAAAAGCTAAACAAATGCTTTTCACAGAAAATAGACATAATTATGCCAAAATTAAAAACCAAATCATGTTAAGACAAGACAGAATAGTTTGTATCAGACTAATCCTCATAAAGATAAAAATTATAAACCCTGAACAAATTTTCTCTAAGACACGGGAGAATAACTGAAAACAAGTAAAAACTAAAAGAAAATCAATCTTCAAAAGAAGGGAACTGTACGGTAGGAATTGCAGATTTTCCCCTAAGACCATTTCCCATTGAGACATGGGACAGCAAAACTTCAGCAGAAAACTGTAGTTTTGTCCACAGTGGTAGCTCATGCCTATAATCTCAGCACTTTGGGAGGCTGAGGCAGGAGAACAACTTGAGGCCAGGAGTTCAAGAACAACCTGGGCAACAGCAAGACCTCATTTCTACCAAAAGAAGAGAAAAAGAAAGAAAGAAAGAAAACTACAGTTTTGTTGGTCTGAGGAGTCAGAACATGAAGTTTTATACTTCTGGGGTTCCTGGACATTTCAGAAAGAAGTGAGCCATAGCAGAAATTCAAAATCTGAGTATGAACTTTCTCAGGTTGATCTCTGGACTACAAATGTACAGGTAAAATACCAAGAAGCTCAGAAGGGGGGAAAAACAGCTTCAAGTGAAGAGAAAGAAATAAATGAGATTAGTTACTGTCCACTATATGGGAGTCATGGTTTGGAGTTTGAGTTTAGTCTATGAAGAATTGGGTGGGGGCTGGTAAACACAATAGGTTCTTCATAAAAATCTCAAAAGGCTCACACTTTAGGGTACAGACTAAGCCATGAAAATAAAGGATTCTTCTTAGATTAAGGGAAAAAACAAAATATGAGGTGGGGGCACCCCCCCAAAAAAATAGAATTTATTTTTTTAATGGTGCATTTATTCTTACATGTTTAAACTTCAGTCAACTTCAAAGTACTTTCTGTTTGATGCAATACACCGGTCGAGATGCTTTTTTCACTGCTCAAAACCGTTTTTGAACTTGTTGATTTTGATGCCTTTAGTGCTTCTGCCATTTTTTGTTTTACGTTTTCCATATCAGCAAAACTTGGAGGGATTTTTTCATCCAGGGAAGCAAAAAAGTCACTTGGGATGAGATCAGGTGAATAGGGAAGGTGGGGCATGGGGATCATACTGTTTTGGGTCAAAAACTGCTGAACGCTCAGCATGGTGTAGACAGGAGTTCTCATAAATCAACCATCCTGAAATGAGCAAACATGTTGAAAGAATCTCCAAAAAAAAATTCACCGAAGCCAAGCACAGCTTCTCATAAAAATGCTAGCTTGTACACTGATACCAATGGGTTCTTAGAACACTTAAATAGTAGGGGAAGCCTGTACTACAAGGGGTCTGCCCTCCAAAAGATAATTCCAGGTTTTTGGGGGTCCCTCCTCAGAGAACCACCCTAGCAACACATAAAACCAAGTCTCCACACAGTCTAGGTGATATCCTTGTAATATAACTGCCTACCAAACCAAACCCAACATTCTTTGTGAAAGATAACAGAATCCAGACTGTTTGTAGTACAACATTCAAAATATCTAGTATGCAATAAAAAAAAATTACTAGACATGAGAAGAAACAGGAAATTGTGGTTATAGTCAACAAAAAATGTGTCAATAGAAACACACACGTAAAATTCTCAAATGTGAACTTAAAAAGATAAACACTATGAAAACAATTAATGTATTTTAAAGTCCATAAGAAATAGCCTCAATCTGGAACCAACCAAAATATCCTACAATAGATGAATGGTTAAACCAACTGTGATACATTCATGCCATGGAATACTATTCCTATAAAAAAGAATGAACTGTGGATACATTCATCAACTTGCATGCATCTCAAGAG